TAATAATAATAATAAATTATTGAATCTGCATGCATCATTCAGTCCTTGACGCTTGGGCAGTGTTCCGACTTGCGATTTTGTGATACGAAGTCCAGCATATAGATCTCACTTGCTGTGACATAGTGTGTTTATGTGTCATTAAAATAATAATAATAATAATAATAATAATAAATTATTGAATCTGCATGCATCATTTAGTCCTAGACGCTTGGGAAGTGTTCGACTTGTGATTTTGTGATACGAAATCCAGTATATAGATCTCACTTGCTGTGACATAGTGTGTTTATGTGTCATTAAAATAATAATAATAATAATAATAATAATAATAATAATAATAAATTATTGAATCTGCATGCATCATTTAGTCCTAGACGCTTGGGAAGTGTTCGACTTGTGATTTTGTGATATGAAATCCAGTATATAGATCTCACTTGCTGTGACATACTGTGTTTACGTGTCATTAAAATAATAATAATAATAATAATAATAATAATAATAATAATAATAAATTATTGGATCTGCATGCATCATTCAAAAATACATCACACAGTCCTAGACACTTGGGAAGTGTTCGACTTGTGATTTTGTGATACAAAATCCAGCATAGAGATCCCACTTGCTGTGACATACTGTGTTTACGTGTCATTAAAATAATAATAATAATAATAATAATAATAATAATAAATTATTGAATCTGCATGCATCATTTAGTCCTAGACGCTTGGGAAGTGTTCGACTTGTGATTTTGTGATATGAAATCCAGTATATAGATCTCACTTGCTGTGACATACTGTGTTTACGTGTCATTAAAATAATAATAATAACAATAATAATAATAATAAATTATTGGATCTGCATGCATCATTCAAAAATACATCACACAGTCCTAGACGCTTGGGAAGTGTTCGACTTGTGATTTTGTGATACGAAATCCAGCATAGAGATCTCACTTGCTGTGACATACTGTGTTTACGTGTCATTAAAATAATAATAATAATAATAATAATAATAATAATGGATCTGCATGCATCATTCAAAAATACATCACACAGTCCTAGACACTTGGGAAGTGTTCAACTTGTGATTTTGTGATACGAAATCCAGCATAGAGATCCCACTTGCTGTGACGTACTGTGTTTACGTGTCATTAAAATAATAATAATAATAATAATAATAATAATAATAATAATAATAAATTATTGAATCTGCATGCATCATTCAGTCCTTGACGCTTGGGCAGTGTTCCGACTTGCGATTTTGTGATACGACGTCCAGCATAGAGATCTCACTTGCTGTGACATACTGTGTTTACGTGTCATTAAAATAATAATAATAATAATAATAATAATAATAATAATAATAATAAATTATTGAATCTGCATGCATCATTTAGTCCTAGACGCTTGGGAAGTGTTCGACTTGTGATTTTGTGATATGCAATCCAGTATATAGATCTCACTTGCTGTGACATACTGTGTTTACGTGTCATTAAAATAATAATAATAATAATAATAATAATAATAATAATAATAATAATAAATTATTGAATCTGCATGCATCATTTAGTCCTAGATGCTTGGGAAGTGTTCGACTTGTGATTTTGTGATATGAAATCCAGTATATAGATCTCACTTGCTGTGACATACTGTGTTTACGTGTCATTAAAATAATAATAATAATAATAATAATAATAATAATAATATGAAATCCAGCATATAGATCTCACTTGCTGTGACTTACTGTGTTTATGTGTCATTAAAATAATAATAATAATAATAATAATAATAATAATAATAATTTATTTCTTGCTCGCCTCTCCTCACGACTCGAGGTGGGTTGCGATTGCTAAAACAAACATTCACCCAAAAATATTCTTTAAAATGCACATATTAGCATTATGATCACTATAATGATTATTAAATATGGAGAGCATGTGCACATCCTTCTCTTTGCAACATAAAAGCTTTGCATGGAAAAAAAACAGACGAGGAATTGAATGCGCTCATCCAAGACAAACATGCAGCTGGAGCATGGAAATGTCACATTTGCAAAGACATAAGACATATTCCATTCCCAATGCATATATTTAACTCTGCAAATACTGGGCATCACATGCTTGTCAGCACAATAGTTCAGTGTGGTATTTCCCCAGGCCTTTATAAATAGGCCTGGCTTTTTTGTGCAGCGAGATGTAGTGCGCGTCTCCATTTCCAAAAATGGATGCTGAGCGAGGGAGATCTCAAAGGGCCCCATTGGTCTCGATCTGAGACTCAATGCAAACTACAAGTCCCAAGATTCCAGAGCATTGAGCCATGACAATTAAAGAGGTGCCAAACGGCATTAATTTTGCAGTATTATTTCTTTATTTATCATGTCAGAAGCGAATTGAGAATTCAGTTCTAATGTATAGTGTTCTGGTATGGCTGTACCAGGAGCTCCAATTTTATTTGGTTTGGGAAGGTGCGTAAAATTACTGCCACCAATTTGCGAAGTCTGCACGCACCAGTTGTACAATTGTGCCAATTGCTAAGGTGCTACAATTCCAACAACAGACAGGGTATAGGGTTTTTAACTTTAAAGAACCCACCCACTGTCACCAGACTGTTCTTAAGTTCTGCCACCAATTATACAGGTGTGGATGATTATGGATGTAATTAAGGTAACTGCTAGGGCTGGGTAACCACGGAAAAATTAGTTTCTAAACTCGATTCGTTTTTAGGGGGGTTTTGCATTTCGTTTTTTAAAAGAATTCCGAAATTTTTCTTTAAAAAAGTTCGAAATATACGAAATTTCGTAAATTACGAAACAATTACGAAACAATTATGAATCGATTCGTTAATGGCGGACGCGATTGCGCAATATGCAAAAAAACCTCCAAATGGGACAGGGGGAACTTCTGAAGCTTCCCTCTCCCTCTGTTGTTGACTGTTGGTGTGATAATTTATTTTTTATCACTGATAAAACAAATAACAACCCTAAAACTTGCAACAGACATACAGAAACAATTACAAAACAATTACGAAACAATTTCGAAACAATTACGAAACAATTACGAAATAAATTGAAAAATTTGTTTCGATTTTTAATTGCTCCTGCATGGCTCGATATCGGATCGTAAGCTAATTTAAATACGAATTAATAACGAATTACGAAATTAACGAACGAAACCGCCCAGCCCTAGTAACTGCCACCAACGTGAGGTATTGCCGATGAGAACTGGCTCCCCAGACGCAGATAAATGGAGATGACACGATCTTCAACAAAAGTTAATAAGTTTATTTTGTACAAAGCATATGGTTGCAGGCTGTCAATTTAACTTGGAATTACTTTGAATAACTTATAGAACTTGGAATGTAACTTGGTTTGCAATACAGTTCTCTCTTCTCAATGATGCAACTTGTGATTGACTTTTACTGTGGTGAAGTACTTTCTTAAACAATGTTTCCTAATGTGAATAGCCTTCTAATTTGATCCTTCTTGATCAAATCCTAGATCTCTAGTTCTTTCCTAACTAGTGATCTAAACAAGCTTCCCTTAGTCCTCTCTGACTAATGAAACTAATTAGGTTTCCCCCTTCAACCTTCCTAGACTGAAGAAACCTCTGGCTATTCACACACACTGCTTCTCCACTCTCCACTCTCCTTTCTCAACTGCTAACTCCGAACGCCTAACTCCCAAAATTGAACTGCTTCTTTTCAAAACGCAGATAACATTCTCTTGCTAGGCTCCGCCCACTTCTCACTCTCTCCTGCCTGGTCTCCTTGGCAACGCC